TGATTTTATGCAAAGTCTAAGTAGTTTTTATGTATTTTCGCGCTGCAACAGTCAGCAAGAATTCACGGGGCGTATGTTTTTGCCTGTTCCATGTTTCAACTTGGCAGCCAAGGAAACTTAAGCGTCGAAGTTTAATCAACGCCAAATGCGACTTCAGAAACGCGACATCACCTCTCAAGCATGCCCGTGCCTCATGTACTGACATTTGAAAATTTTACCAGCGAAATCGCTAACTTGGAAACCGAAAAAGTCAGGAAGTTGAAATTAGAGGAAGATTCATTCTGCACATGTGTGACCAAAAGACCTTAAATTCCGCCTAAAATTTACGTACTGACATGCGAAAGGTCGAGCGAAAAATTGTTAGCAGTCTTCCAAAAAAGCAAAATTTGGACATCCAGGGCTGTCCGTAGTTCTAGCGAGGAACCGCTGGCAGTCCCAGATGTTCAAATTTAGTTTCCACACAAGACTAGGCAGGGAAACGATAAAAGTTTTGGCGAGAATTGTCCAACTCGAAGGCAGGAACAGCTGAAAGCTGAGATTTTAGGGGGATGTTTTTTGGCCATATGCTAATCCGAAAATCTAAATCCACCTTTAGGGCGCATGAAATCCTCATGAACGGAGGGGTAAATGAAATTTGAAACTGCGCAATTTTCCGACCTTCCAACAAGACAAGCTACAAAGTTAAAACTTTTTATACCACGATCGTCCGATCTTGAGTTGCATACTTTCAAACATGCTTTCTACGCTTGGAAAGCACATCTGAAGGTATGTAACACGGCCTGGCATAGCTGCCCGACGTGTGGGAGCGCCTCACCAACAGAACCGATTTGGGACCCTCAACACAGACTGTCTGGAAAAAATCCTGTGAATGGTTAATGGGCCTGTTTGAATGCACATATTTAGTGATCAGAAATAATATAAGAGAGAATACCTTCTGAATGAGATATTCTTCAACCATTATCTTTTCTGGAAGATTCTTCAATCGCGTCACGATAGACTGGAAGTCGTTGAATTCTTTCAACTGATCATTAGTACCAAGACCGTGCCGGAAAAGAACCACTGCTACTTTAAAAAGCACTTTGACGCCTAAAACTGTGCTGTTGAAAAACTCGGGATGTTGATAATTTTAGTCTAAGCTTCCTGTACATTTCTAACTAATAAAAAGCACAGCTGAAGTCACACATCTTTAAAAACAACATCCTCGCAATATTATGGTGGCAAAGAATGGCAACAGCACCGATAAAACACGGCAAAGCGCAATCCGCCCCATTTCTTCGGATTATGAAATTCAACAAGTAAAGCGAATTTCTCCTATTTCTTCCTTGGTTTATGAAGTTAAACTGAGAAATGCAAAAACTGTACTGCTCAAAGCCTAGAATACTGCTTTATGTAATGGACAAAGTTCTTAAACAGAAGGTTCTAGTTTAAAATTAAGCGGTTATTTTGAAAAAAAAATGATCAAAAAGCATGAGTTATTGCGGGCGAAAAAGAGCCCCTCAGCGTAGGCCTCGTTTCAGTTGATCTTTTCCTCGAAAAACTGACATTGTCAAAAGCTGCTTCCGAAACATTTCCAAAAAACATGAGTAAAAGAAACATGTCAACACGCGATATCACACAAATTACTTTTACTATGAAAAAATGCTCATCCTCGGCTTTTTTATTGGTCCTAACTGTCACTGACCAATGATGCTAAATTTAAATTTAGCCAACCTTCACAGAAGAACATGTCCCATACTCGTAGTACTGTAGGCCATGGAAGCGTGCGACAAAATATACACATAAACCATTCGACCATATAAAGTACCGGTTCAACGCGATGTTTCTTCTAAAAATGCCACCCAAAACAAATTGCAAGAAATCGTTAAAAATAAAAGAACTTGTTGGAAAACAAACCAAATGTTTGTAGCTCAGACGCGACTTGTCTTTTAGCACTTGAAATAGAATGTCGCCATCGATTTGCACCGCCTCCTGTAAGTAACAACAGATGAAAGTTCAAACAACTATAATAAAAATATATCCGCTCGCTTCTCAAAACCGAAAGATTTGCCAATGCCTCTTGCCGCTAGCAAAATGTCATTTGGATTAGTTGTTTTTCATGTGCAGTGAAAATGCGATTATAATTTTCTGCTTTTTTCTCATTATGCGTTTT